ATACTGCTTGAGAGAAAAACACGACGAACCTAGGTGCAAAGTCTACATATGGACAGACAGGGGGAGGGGGCGGAGCGACGGTAAGTAGGGAGCCCAAATAAGCACAAACCTCAATATCGCCGGTTTCATTCTCTTGCAGTACGAGACGTTTTTTGGCGAGGAGGCCATTGAAGCGTTCTGTGCGTACATCCAGCTGGTTGTCAAGACCACGCGAGTCCTTGCCACCGGCCGTCCAGCGAAGAAAGAGACCGAGGGGGGACTCGTTGTCGAAGAGCTTGCGCACGGAGACTACAGGGGGATGGAGGGCGGTAAGCAATCAGGCTAAACAGGTACGGAAGTATGGACAGTAATAAGTTAAATTGGGAAGAAGAGGAAGCCGATGCAATCGCTGGAACCCAAACTTTATTCGCTTGACGCCTTGGATACGTGCTTGAACCCATCATCAGAAATTGCCTCAGATAGGGGTATTTTATACACAGAATTGCAGTATTTGTAGGATGCAGTCGCTACGGTGTCGTATACCTATGAAAATCAACACTTCTTCCCCTGCATCAAGGGTAACTGCCCTCTGGTGCTATGATGACCGAAATTCGCGACGTCATCTGCTGAAACTTCGTCACTCGTGGAGGGCGGGGTGCTCATTGTTCCGCCACCTAGCTCACCGGCGTGGGCGTTGGAAATGTGCCTGCCTGCGTGCTCAACAAGTGGCCAAACCAAGTCTTGGTATCGAATATGGGTTATGGAGTCCATTAGATCAAGATCCATAAACCATGATTCAAACAACTCGCGGCTCACGCGAATTTCATCTCTCTGGTGAGAATGCTGGGTTCATCGCGAACTGAAATGTTTGACCGAGTCTCATCGAGTAAGCTGCGTCATCATCTATCCGTAAAGCTGTCGCGTGCTCGGTAACTCAAGTCCGGGGCAGTCTTCCAGTCTTCCCAACGCAGTTGCCTTGCTCACAACTACGCTAAACAACGCCATATGTTCCTTGCTAACGGCAGTGGGTCCCCTGGTCGCATCACCTGACGGCTAATGATTGCCTCTGGTCTGTGTGCATTTCCAAATCCAGTTGGTGCGAGAGAAGACGGTTGATAGCTTTGTGCAAGAATTGCCTTTATGGGATGCTGTCTCTGAAGGTGGATTTGTGCTGGAATCCGAAACCTCAGACAGATAAAGTTCTTAATCAAGCGATCGCGTCTACTTTCGAGGACTTGTATCGGCTATAAGTCCAATTCAGTGACCAACTAATTTACTGGTATCACGTAAGCCTAGGGTCAAAATGTGCACACATTAGGAAATGGAGGTTATATTGTAGAACGCAAAGATGCTTAGGCAAGATGTCTGTTCACTGGGACCCATCGCCTTATAACTAATTTCAATTTCGGACGCGATAGC